GAGGAGGAGGAGGAGGAGGAGGAGGAGGAAGCAGGCTGATAATATAAATACTTCTCTCTGTAAGAGATAGAGCCTGAGTTCCCTCCCCTTGATAGTAAGTGAGGCTCTGACTCATTTTTAAAATGTGTATTCTGGCCGGGTGGTGGTGGCTCACGCCTTTAATCCCAGCACTCAAGATGCAGAGGCAGAGGCAGGCGGAGCTCTGTGAGTTCGAGGCCAGCCTGGACTACAGAGGGAGTTCCAGGAAAGACGCAAAGCTACACCACTCAAAGGAAGAATTTTCCTATTGAGTTTCCATTAAATCACTACTGGGTGACTCAGGGACTCTTTTTATAATATTGTGATCACCCAAGGAAGGTTCTTTCAGATGTCCATGTTGTACTTCAGTAGGAGTTTCAGAAGCAATTTCTTCTTTCTTCTCCATTTCCTCTTTATACAGTTCACAAAATGGCGGCTGTCTGGCTTTCAACAGATTGTTAGATAATCCAGCCCTTCTTAAACTGGGAGTTTTAGCCCCACTGTTTGGAGCCCATGGGGTGATGGGAGACCCTGTGATGATATCTGTGGTTTGTGAAGATTCTTTAGAATGTCTATTCCCAGGTGTGTTTACATTTTAGATAGGAGCCCAGAAAAGGTTAGCTTTCACACGGACTGACGGCAACAGTCACACAGCTTAGCTTCGCTTTCTGAGAGGATGGAAGAGAATCATTACTGTCATCAGTGCAGCTTCTGATCGACCCAGTCCATCCCCCGAACTGTTCCTTAAAGAAATGGGATGCTTACTGGGTGGTGGTGGCAGATGACTTTAATCCCAGCATTCGGAAGGCAGAGGCAGGCAGATCTCTGTGAGTCGAGGCCAGCCTGGTCTATACAGCAAGATCCAGAACAGGCTCCAAAGCTACACAGAGAGACCCTGTCTTGAAAAAAAAGAAAAGAAAATTGAAAAGAGATGTGATTCTTGGTATGGGGAGAGGGTTCAGTGTGAGTTCAAATCCCCAGCACCCATATGAAGGATGGCCACAGGGGTTGCATATATTATTACCCTGAGGTGGGAGACAAAGATCCTGCACTTACTGGCCAGCTAGTCAAGACAGTTGGTGAGCTCCAGGTTCAGTGAAGAGACCCTGTCTCAAAAACAAGGTAGAGTGAGAGGAGACAACTAATACTGACCACAGACCTGCACACACATGTGCACACATGTGTGCATGCCCATACACATGTGAACATACACACAACCATGTACAGACAACACAAACACACACACACACACACACACACACACACACACACATACACAGAGAGAGAGGGAGGGAGGGAGAGAAGGAGAGAGAGATTTTATTTTTGTACTGGAGTTGATAGTCTAAGGACCAAAACATAATCCAAAATGTTCCCATTTATTTATTTTTAAAAGGTGATGTATAGATATTCCATGGGATGTCATTCAGCCTCTAAACAACCAAAAGGAAGAGCAGTTTCAAGAGTCTATTGTTTCCCTTAACCAGTTTCTCAACATGAGTATCAACTAATCACCGTAGCAGAGCAGGGTTGCCTATCTTTCTAAGGCATGCTTTGAAAGCAGGATGCTAAACTTTTTTTTACTATTTAAATTGTGTGTGTGTGTGTGTGTGTGTGTGTGTGTGTGTGTGTGTGTGTGTGTGTGTGTGTGTGTGTGTTTGAGCATGTATAATTGGGTCAGGGGCTGATGCTATCACACAGATGTGGAGGTCAAGGGCCAACATCCAGATTGAACTCGGGTCATCAGGCTTTAGAAGCAGGTGTCTTTATCTGCTGAGCCAGCTCATTGGTCATAAAGTCCTTTTTATAGATGCTGAGCTTCTGGTTTGGGGGTGTTGGAATTCTAAACATTTTTAAAGATAAATGACTGATCATTTCACCATTGACTCTGCCTCTTCTTTTCAGTAAGTCCTTCCCCTTATTTAACCGGTGCATCCCTCAGACCCCCGAGTGCTATTCCTTATTTGCATCAGTCTTGATAAATGATGCTGACGCTCTCCATCGGATTCTAAGTGGAATAATGGCGGGAAGAGACACCATCCTCGGCTTGTGTGTCTTCACATTCGGTAATTCTTGATTAATTTTATTTAGTAACTGTTTATGGTATGCCGAATTTCTCGACACTCGAGTACCTTGTGTAATGAAAACCAGCATCTTTGACTTAAATATAGAGCTTATGTATTTTCTTCACAGATTTGTTCAAAGGTTCAAGTGTGGACAGGGGGCAGTAAGAATCGAAGACTAGTTGGCTCTCAGCTGGGAAGCAGTCCTGCATAGAATTGAGTTAATATATTGGTCTGGCTCCTGTCTTTTGTTAACTCTGCATACAAGATGGGCAAATAAAACACTGCCACCTCATGCATTGGCTATGAAAAACGTAAGCATCAGGGGCACCAGACCCCAGTTCTGCTCGTCAGTGTGCCTTCCTGGCACACTTATAGACTGGTCAGTCTATGTGCTCAGAAGGCTGCTGGCTGGGGAAAGGAAGGAGTGTGTGTCATGGTACTGTCCTGGTCCTGATGGAGCCCTACCTGCTCTGAGCGAAGGCCTGCTCCCTCGTATCTTTGGGGAAGCAGCTGCCCATCCTTGAGCCTGTGGCTTCAATGCTGTGTTTCACCTTGCTAAGACTAAGCCAATTTTCCGTCTGAAGAGGTTAAGCCATGCTGCTTTGGACAAATATTGTAGGTCACTGCTCTTTCCAGCAGCAGGCCTCCCACCTCCAAGCTGAAAGAGACTTTTTGGTCAGCCATCAACATATTTCTGCCTGTTTAAAAAAATTACTTATTAGCTGAGAAGTAGTGTTGCAGGCCTTTAATCCCAGCACTTAGGAGACTTGCAGAGCTGAGACCCTAACCCAGGTCTGATTCCAAACCCTGTGTTAGTACCCACTGTACTGGAACATCTATAAGCAATCCCAGTTGCTTTATTTGTGAGAATTAGTGTTCCTAGTCACAGAAATATTCAGAAAAGTCACAATCCTAAAAACCCAAGTGTTAAAAAATAAAATGCAACATCTTACATATACAGTTTACTTAATAATTATAAGTTTGATTTGTTGGATGTTGGCAGTGCATGCCTTTAATCCCAGCATTTGGGAGACAGAGGCAGGTGGATCTCTGAGTTCAAGACCAATCTGGTCTATAGAGCAAGTTCCAGGACAGCCCAGGGCTACACAGAGAAACCCTGTCTCAAAAAAAAAAAAAAAAAAAGGAAATTTAATTGTTTTTCATTGTCAAGACATTATTCTTTGAGATTTCATAAGCATATCCAAGAACATTAAGAGTTAGAACTGGTCCAGCAGTGGTGGCGCACACCTTTAAGCCCAGCATCGGGAAGGCAGAGGCAGGCGAATCTCTGAGTATAAGACCAGCATGATCTACAGAGTGAGTTTCAGGACAGCCAGGGCTACACAGGGAAACCCTGTCTTGAAAAACTAAAAAAAAAAAAAAAAAAAAAAAAAAAAGTTAGAACTTCACAAAGCCCAGCATAAAAGACAAAAGACTTAAATATGGTAAAAATTTAAATAGTTAATTTGGACTTTTAAGAAAAAGTATGGTTTCTTTTTTTACATTTACATTTTACACTTATTTTAATACATTATTAATTCATTACTCATCTATCGTTATATTTAAACTTGAGAAGAATGCTGGCATTTTCAGAACCTCCTTACCACAGCTGACTTGTGTCGGAGGCCTAGGAGGGTATCCTGGGTATTTGTATTTAGTATTTGCTGTTTCCCAGGATGCTTGGAAAGTGAGTAAACCCATCAGCCCTCACTTTCCTGGGCCTGATCAGCAATCACAGTTTTATGCTGACCACCCTTTCCACCCACCGCCCTCCCCTGCTGCCTCGTTGCCCTGGAGCATCATGTTTACCTCTGTTTACCTTTCCAGCCTTGTCTCTGGCCATGATGTTCACTTTCCGATTCATCTCCACACTTCTGGTCCACATCATCATTTCGCTGGTTATTTTGGGATTGCTATGTAAGTATTTCCATTCTTTTTGAGTAAATGGAACAACTTTCCAGTAAGCACAGAGTTTAAAGGTTGGGGGTTTGTTTTGGTTTGGTTTGTTTTTTAACTAACTAGAGTCTTAGAAGGGGATGCAGTCCATCCCCATCTTCACACATATGAGGAAAACCAGGCTTAGGGAGGCCGTTGGGAGTTGCTCCTGCCTCCCAAAGAAAGCTGATGTCCACTCTATCCTTGAGTCTACCTGTTGTGCAGCTTCTGAGACAAGCCTACCAACTGGGTGACCCTGGAGCCCCTAACACTGGTCCGAGGACAGATCTCAGTGTTAGAGTCCTGCCAGGCATGCACATGGCCCTACATTCAATCCCCTGCACAGCAAACAAGCAACAACACAAAATTAAATTTTACTGATACTTAAATACATCATCAGGAAGAATTCCAGCTGGCCATGGTGGTGCACACCTTTAGTCCCAGCACTTGGGAGGCACAGTCAGGTAGATGAACATCTGTGAGTTCAAGGCCTGCCTGGTCTACATAGCAAGTTCCAAGACAACCAGGGCTGCATAAAGAGACTTTGCCTCAAAGGAAAAAAAAAAATTTTTAAAAAGAAGAAAAAAGAAAGGGATTTCTATCTTTCTTTTTGTTCATTTTGAAGGATTTATTCTGTGTTACACTTACTCTGTGGGCCTGTGAGAACCTATGATTGTCACACAAAGGCTCTGGTCAGTCTGAAGAGCAAGGCTGAGAAGGAGCAGAGACCAGGGGAACCTGTGTTGACCCCTCTTTTCCTTACAATGGATTGTGACTATCCTAGGAGTTTTGAGGAAAGAGGTAGAGGCCTCGTTTTGCAACTGATATAGGGCATTTTAATTTTGAATGATCAATGTGACTATAATGTTTTATCCCTTTGAATATTTAATTCTGCTCTCAGGCAGCCGCACAGAGGCCTGGTGTCAGTCACCTTTCTGACTCTGTGACAAAACGCCTGAGTAAATCACTTAGAGAGATTTACTGGCTTGGCTCACAGTTCCAGAGGCTTCACTCCACAGTCACTGGCTCCCTTGTTCTGAGCCTGTAGCGTTATTCTCCTGCCGGAAGCCTGTGATAGCCTAAGGCTGATTGCTACTACTTCATGGCCACTAAGATGCAGAAAGTTCAGGTCCCCGTAGGCCTTCCAAGCACATCTCCAGTAACCCGCTTCCTTCAAGTAGATCCTACCTCCTACAGTTTCTTCTGCCTCCCAAGAATGCCAAGACTCGATCCAGCTGGGGATCTAGCCTTCAATACATGAGCTTCTAGGGAGCATTTCGGTTCTAAATCACAGCAAGCTCTGTATTGGAGAAAGGCCATTGTGACCAGTGAAGGCTGTGGCATCCATCTCCCCATCTATGATCGGCAGACAACTATGACCTCCCTGGAGTTACAACAGTGATGATTTATAGTCATGTTTTTATCTAGATGCAGAGTATTTGCAGTGCCACTGTATCTTCCCAGTGCACCTCTGATAACGTGATCTCCATGGGCTGTGTAAATGACCCACCTTTGTGGGTAAGAAGCCAACATCCAGCCAGGCATAGTGGCGCATGCTTTTAATCCCAGCACTCGGGAGGCAAAAGCAGGTGGATCTCTGTGAGTTCAAGGCCAACCTGGTCTACAGAGTGAGATCCAGTACAAGCAGGGATACACAAAGAAACCCTGTCTTAAAAAACAAAAAACAAAAAAAAACAAAGAAGAAGAAGAAGAAGAAGAAGAAGAAGAAGAAGAAGAAGAAGAAGAAGAAGAAGAAGAAGAAGAAGAAGCCGCCAACATCCAGTCCCCCACGCCCAGGAGCTATCACCAGCAGACCTTCTGTGAATACTTTAGACTTTAGACTCGAATGCTCTTCCTCTGCTCACACTCATCCTGTGGACTAGGTTCCTGTGTCTCCAGAGACCAGTAGCAAGATTGGCAGGTTATCTGCAGACCTGGCTTTGTCCAGATCACCCAGAGAGAAGTGATGGGCTCCAGAACATCTGGGAATTTAGAACCTACTGTTTCAACAGGATCACTGGGTCAGAAGTGGCTAGACTGTGTGTGTGTGTGTGTGTGTGTGTGTGTGTGTGTGTGTGTGTGTGTGTGTGTGTGTGTGTGTGTGTGTGTAAAAGAGGAGTGGGTAATCTCAGGATCTCAGGACACATGCCAAGCCTCCTATCACTTTGTTTTCTAGTTGTCTGCGGAGTCTTATGGTGGTTGTTTTATGACTACACCAACGACCTCAGCACAGAATTGGACACGGAAAGGGAGAACATGAAGTGCATGCTGGCCTTTGCCATCATCGCTACGGTCACGACGGTAAGACAAGCCCTTCCGAATGCTGGTTGAGTAGCCACCATCAGCTCTGAATCCAAGTTTCTGAATTCCAGCCAAAAACAACTTGGATGTTCCAGAAGGCTTAACACTCCAGAGGTCACAGGATGCAGCCTTAGGGAGAACAGTGTCAGGAGTGTTGAGGTCAAGGAGTTTGTAGTAGATAAAGAGATACTTAGATGTGGGAGATTGGCAGTAACAAGATGCTTGACCAGGAAGAGAACAGTCGAGAAGGCTGAATGGTATGGGGGTAAAGGATTCTGGTTTCCCTAATTTGGGAGACTTATAACTATTTCTATGTGGAGGAGAAACCCAGTCAAGAAGGCACAGAAAGTAGCTTTGAGGCATTGTCATTTTACGTCACATTCATATTCTCTCGCCTGTTGGCAGCCCATCTCTGGTGTGTGGCATGGAGGTGGGAAAAATAGAAGGTGTTTTCCTTGACCTTTCAAGAGCCTTATTCTCACCTTTGAACTCTGACTTATGGTGATATTTTATTTTGTACTAAAATGTTAATTGTATGTTAATAAATAAAGTTGCCCGGGGGTCAGAGCTATTAGAGCCATAGCAAGAGCGTGGCGGTGGTGATGCACGCCTTTAATCTCAACACCATAGAAGACATGGAAGTCTCTACAGTGACAGGCAGTGACGAGGCAGTCATGTGTTTGGATTTACAGCCAATGAGAAGGCAGAACAGAAAGTCTATATAAAGTCAAACAGGCAGGAAGTAGCTCTCTTTCAAAGAGGTCTCTGGCGGAAGAGCTAGCTACAGCAGGAAGGGCAAGACTCTTAGCTCTGATCTCTTGACTTTCTTCTTTGCATTGGTTCTGTGTTTATTATTTAACAAGACAGTTGGTTACATCTACACTGACTGGCTCCTTTAGGCAGGGACTCAGCCTTGTTCGCCATTGTGACCGTGGGATCTCACACAGAGGCCAGTACATAGTAAGGTCTCAGTCAGTGCTTGGGAGTTGATCTTTTCAGTTACAACAGAAGTAATGAGTATCTTCCAAGAGAGCCGCTTGAGGCCAGTTAGACACTTGCGTTTCCAGCCCCACCCAGCCCTCTCTGCTCTGCAGCGGTTTGCTCTGGCCTCTCTCTCAACAGGCGGTTCTCCTCGTCTTGATCTTCACACTCAGAAGGAGAATGAAATCGGCAGTCGAGCTTCTCCAGGTGACAAACAAAGCCATCAGCCGCTGCCCTTTCCTGCTCTTCCAACCACTGTGGACATTTGCCATCCTTGTTTCCTTCTGGGTCCTCTGGGTGGCTGTGCTGCTGAGCCTGGGAACTGCCGGTAAGTGGCGCCATTTTAGAACTGACAGCCCGTTCCGGGGAGCGCCAAACCTCTTCTGGAACCAGGGGCTCTGTCACGGGGGACACTTTTGACTGGCCTTGGGGAAGCTGGGTTTTATGAGTTAATGAATTCAGTCAGGCTTGAAAACTTAGGTGAAACTATAATATGAACCAAAGCTCACAGGAAGACGACTGTTAAATGTCTTCAGGTTTAAAGCTGGAGAATATAGCTCAGTGGGTCGAGACCTTCCCTAGCAAGCATAAAACCCTGAGTGAAATGGCCCATGCTTATAATATCAGCATTACAGAAGTGGGGACAGGAAAATCACAAGTCCACAGTCATCCTTGGCTACCTAGTAAGTTTGAGCCAGCCTGGGCTGCATGAAACCCTGTCTCAAAACAAACAACAACAACAAAGTCTCCAGGTTTAAATCTTCTCCAAGGTAATTTGCCAGCTCCTGACAAATCAGTACTTCACAGATGGCACAGACTCCAGGGAAGATTCTGCTAAGTGAGTTGATTCCAGCAAGGCCAGCTTAAGTTTAAAACAAGTACATGTGGTCGTTCAGATTGCTTTGGTTTTGAAAGGCCACGCTGTAGCCTTCATTCTCCTGGCGTATCCCAAGGCTGCGTCTCCACCAGGGGTCTTCCTCACAATCAGTTTCACTACTTTACCACACCCATATGTGGACCCCACCTGCAGGGATTCTGATCTTATTTGATTTGGGGTAGGACAAAGTAGGTGGATGGATGGATGAATGGATGGATGGATGGATGGATGGATGGGCAGACAGACGGACGGATGAATGGATGGATGGACAGATTTGGTATGGATATAAAGATATATTTTTTGCTGGGTGGTCATGGCATTCTCCATTAATCCTAGCACTTGGGAGGCAGAGGCATGCAGATCTCCATTTGAGGCCAGCTTGGTCTACAGAGTGAGTTCCAGGATAGTTATGGCTATACGGAGAAAGCCTATCTTGAAAACAAACAAATATATAAACAAAACATATATTTTTATCATGCTAGTGGGGCATTAAGATTCTACATCAGTGTCATTCAAAGTGCTGTCCACAACGGTGCCGAAAGCCTAGGCCTAGGTATATCACCCCATTGTTGCCTTCACTGAGAACTTCCTGTTATGAGAAAAAATGGAGGGGACCCTGGAAAGATAGTGCTTTCTTGCAACCACAAGGACCTGAGTTTGATCACCAGAACCCAACAGGTAGAGAGAGTCAGATCAGAGGGTCACTGGTTGGGGGATAGCCTGGCCTACTGGTCAAGTTCTACTGGTCAATCCCAGACCAATGAGAGGCACTGTCTCAATAATGAATTAGATGCTGCCTGGAGAGTAACACCTGAGGTTGTCCTCTGGCTTCTACACACACCTGCACACATGAGCTCCTTCATAAACATGTACACACACACACACACACACACACACACACACACACACACACACGTCAGCTGGAAGAAATAACATGCTCAGTGGTGACCTTCATTCAACAGAAGCCCCTCTATCCTTGCACACTGGTACCAACCAGTGTGAGGACCAGCAGCTGGTCGGCGGGCCACAGTCCTGAAAATGCTTTGACTTTGCTCTTCGATTTGGCGATGGCCCAGATTCACACTCTGTGGCAAGTACAAGCAGTGAGTTACTTTACTAGACTGTTCCCAGGCAGACAAGAGCAGGAACAGACGTCACATCAATGAGGCTGGTGCAGTTCCCTAATACGTTATCAAGTGTATCTTCTCCATTCAGTGAGGCAAAAATACATACTCTTGCATGATGTCTACAATACAGATGCAGGCCCATGTCACAGAACAACTTCAGAGTAGCAGCTTCTTCTAAACTCAGTCCTCTTCCCTCTCCTCTGGAATTAAGTGATCCTACAGAATTAAGATGCTCACAGGTCCTTGGAAGCCACAGCCCCGGGAGACCCATGTGTCCAGCTCTGGGGATGCTGGAGGAGCAGCCTCTTCTTCTGGAGGTCTCTGAAGGCCTCTAGGGAATGTCCAATAACCACCCAGAGAGGAACCTGGGTCAAGCAGAGAGACTATGATCATCAGAATGAGCTTTGTCTAGAAAGGAAAGAAAATTGAAAGATGTAAGGTAACGTGCACAAGATCCCAATGCCTTCTTCCTCCACAACCTCTGCTCTTTCTCGCCATGTCATAGTTGAGAGGACCGCTTGGGCTCCCACCGTGGCGTCTCACTTCAGCCTTTAGAAAAGTGGCAGGAAGGAAGATGAGCATCCTTCCTCAGAAGTCACAGGCAGCACAGAACTCTACCCAACCCCAGGGGCCAGCCCCAAGGGACACGCTGACACCTACCTGCTAAGGAGGTCGGGAAATGAAGTTTCCATTTGCCCAGCCATGCAGAGTGCAAAACTTAGAGAGGTCTATGACCCAGAAGGGACGAGAACCTCTACTACAGCGGCACCTGAGAGGAATGCACACTGAGAGCCTTCCTCTAGCTCACTGGCTCAAGGTAGGCTCAGTGATGTCAGAAGCAGAGCAGGGGCTGTGTGCACCAAGTGGAGAAGCGAGCCGTGTGTTGAAAGGCCCCCAGCTGACTCCACACCAGGTGGTTCTCCTCCTCCAGCACTACGGTCCCCTTGTAACTTGTCTGCCATTCTGGAGTTTAAAGCAAGAAAATTAAAGACCCAGTAAGTCACCCGTTGATCTTCATGCAGCAAGGATGAGCCACGGCTCTCTGCTTCAAAGCTCTCTCGAATGGCGTCTCCACACTTTCCACTACTGACCTCACTTTCCGAGTGAAGCACCGACCCCACGGTGCAAGTGGATAGGCTGGAAATTGCCAGAATATCTGAAACAGATGGAGCAAATATAGACTCAGTGCAGGTCGAGAGAATGCCAGGAGAAGGGCCTGGTCTCAGGCAAGAAGGAAACAACCCAGTCCTGAGAGTTGATGGTGGCACTGTAGAGTTTCTGCTCCAAAGCTGACTTGAGATTGAACTGCTAACTTGGTGCCTCGTGACATTCTCCTCCTTGGGTCCAACAACAGTGCATTGACAGCCTCAGTCACAAGGACCCAGAGCGAAGGCAGGGAGGCAGGAGGCCATTTGGTTTGAATGTAGCCTGTTTTTCCACAGCAACCTCAGAAGACCATGTGTCAGAGTATGATAGTTCTCTGTTAGTGCAAGAGCTCAGGGGGGCATGGATGAGAGGAGCCTGGGAGAAGAAAAAATGAGCTGAGAGTCTAGAACCGAATGTAGCTCTCCGGGTAAGCTGGCCTTTGCCTTCCCAGCAGAGCGGGCACTACAAAGAGTTACCCTTGCCCTCGCAGCTGTAGTCCAGGATCATGAACTCCCTCAGGCCACCTGACCCTCCTTTCTACACACTCATGGGCTGTCCAAGAGCACAAAGTCCCTTTTGTTCGCCAAGACCTCTTCGTTCAGTGTCAGTGGCTTGGGTCTGGGCCAAGCAGGCCAGCAACTGCATCGATGTTTGACTCTAGGAAGATGCCCCCGCTGTGCCTGTGAAGTGGGAGCAGCTTCCACGTCTTGGGAAAGGATGCTTTGCCAGAGGACGCAGGTGGATAGTGCTCGGTGTCTCTCTGTGTCGTTTAATGTCCTCTCGGGCAGTGATATGAGAGGACAGGATCTCTCTGTGTGTCCAACAGTGAAGGTGTGTGTGTGTGTGTGTGTGTGTGTGTGTGTGTGTGTGTGTGTGTGTGTTGTGGGGGGTATCCTCGGCAGGTAAATATTTATGAGTTTTCTTTAGGGGCTGGTGGTTGAATAAGTTAATAATTTAATGTGCAAAAAATACAGTGAACTTTGGTGGGTCGTGTTTCCTCGTGTGAGCTGTTTCTCTAGTGACTTCACTAGTTCACAAGTTGTGGCATTTTGGAGATCATCTCAGCAGAGCCTATGAACATCTTGACAGCAGTAACATCTCGTAGTAGTCTGTTAGGCCCTGTCTTCTAACTAATCCAATGACGTAAAGAGCCTGCTGTGATGGTGCACACCTGTCACTCCAGGAGGGACACTCAGGAGGCTACAGCTGGGGGATCAGAAATTCAAGGCCTGGGCTACAAGGAGAGACCCTGCCTTTAAAAACCAAAGTCAAAACCAAACAAAAAGCAAAAGTCGTAGTTACCTTAGGAATCCAGCACACGCTGTTGGTGAGCAGAAAAGAGCCCAGATGATCTGGGTGGCAAGAGATCACTACGGTGGCCTAGAAGTCCAGAGTGGAGAACAATAGAAAAGGGTGTGTGTGGTGGGGGGGTATTTCCAGGTCCACGCGGTGGCTGAAAGGGCAGTCACAGCCATGGACACAGTGCACTTGGAACAGGCACTCGGCTACGCTTGGAGAGGAGGCAGCAGGCTCAAACAGAGTTCCCATCAGAGGCGCCAGGGGCCAGGCTGCTTCAGATTTCCTGGGAAATCAGTTCTCTGTGCTATGTCCATGGGAGGCTGAGCTGGAGGAGAGCTTTGCCTTGCAAATGAAGGGCCGTATGTTGTGGCTGTTGTTGTTGTTGTTGTTGTTGTTGTTGTTGTTGTTGTTGTTGTTGTTGTTAGGAATTAGCATTGACGAAGGAGTATCTCACACTGGTCTCAGCCACACTCATTATTTGTTCCCCTTCTGCTGCGCCTGGTGGATTTGAGAACACATTATCTAAGAAAATTATCAGGGATCTAGAAGATGATTAAAGTTATTTCACTGAGCCTGCCGATGGCCAGCCTTGTCTTGGGAACAGAGCGAGGAAGAGAAGAGAGTCTGCAGTGGCTTCCAGAAGTTCAGGTCGTTTCACTGCTGCAGAGAAAAGCCGTCCTCATGGGTCACTCTGTGCCTTGCTCCAGTGTGATCTGACCTAGAACCCACTCCCCTTCCCGACTCTCACCCCAGCTCCCCACCGCCAACTGCTTCAGAAGCTAGGCATTCTTAAATTTGTTTCCAGTGTTCTGTTTCGTGGATGATAGTCTACAAATTTCTTGGGCATGTAAACTTGAGTATTTCTTGTGTATTGTTTTC